GGTAGTGCTAGTGTGTATGATTGGGGGTTGGTAGTGCTAGTATGCTAGTAGGGGGTCAGTAGTGCTAGTTTGTATGGTCGGGGATCGGTAGTGCTAGTATGTATGATGTGAAGTCGTTAGTGTTAATGTGTATAATTGGGGGTTGGTAGTGCTATTATGTATGGTTAGGGATCAGTATTGCTAATATGTATAGTTGGGGTAGTGCTAGTGTGTATGATTATGGGTCGGCAGTGCTAAGTGCACGTTACCTCTCCCTCTCCTGGCGCAGCTGGTCCTCGAGCCACATGCGCAGGCGGTGGTAGTAGAGCTGCTGGTCCCGCATGTGCATCACCTTGCGCCGCACCTGCACCACATACAGGATCTATTTTACTTTAGTATCATTCTACACCTATATTATTATACTTGACTATCTCTGTACTTTAACATGGACTAGTAACACCAGCTTCGAACAACTTTTTCGCTTGGCAAAACCGTCGTTAGACCTGACATATGGATCTGAATGTTGGACAGTAAAAGGGACGGATGAACGGAGACTACATGAGAATGTCAAGATGAGGTAACACGAATGGATAAGATACGAAATGAGTATATTGGAGGAAGTTTGAGAGTAGCCCTAGTGGTAGAGAAGGTAAGGAGTAAAATGTGAGCATGGGGGCATGTTATGAGGGATGAATCGCATGTTACAAGGAGAACGTTAGTTATGAATGTGGAGTTACACCGGTAAAGGTAGACAGAAAGAGATGGATGGCGTGAAAGGTGACATGATCAAGGAGTGATGACAGTTGACGTATGTTAGAGTAAGGAGGACAATAACAACATGAGGTGGCAAACGAGCAAGCGGCCACCTGAAACCGCCAAAATGGCGCAGCGACCGCTGCCATAGACATCCGCAATTGCAGATGCGTTGCCTACCCTTATACGATTAAGGAGGAGACACACATACAGAGGATATTTCCCCTTCCTATGCATCTCCTCCACCGTCAAATCCACTTCCACTCCCCATTCTCTCTTTATAAGAAAAGGGTGGTAAAGAGAAAGGGATTAAAATTAGGTCTCCGTCACCACACTCATCAGTACGCGGAATTGCTTCCACTTCACGCCTGTCTGTGGTCGTGGTATTACTGAGAGCCCTACAGTGCTAAGATGTTAAAGCGGGTTCTACTGATAAAAGTAAAACTACTCGACCAAATTCACTTCTTTCAGTATTAAAAAGCTACGTTATCAGTAAATGTGTCACCGCGAAGTGTCGTCACTGTACGTACCTCCTTGAACCGCTGCAGATGGTACTCTGGGCAGAGCGCGCGGCAGGGCTGGTGCGGCGGCGCGGGCGGCGGGGAGCCCGGGGGCGGCGGCGCGGGGGCGCAGCCCCCCACCAGCTGCGTACACACCTGCACACACTTCACTGTTACAAATTTCAATACAAATTATATCTATACATATAATAAATTTGGAGTGTCTGTAATATCAAAAGAAATATTCCAGATTTCTAGAAGATGTGTCTGCGTTGCTGATAAAAAAATCGCATTTAAGAATTTTTTTTGTCTGTCTGTCTGTCCGCAAGCCGCGTTTGTCCCGGGTAAACTCCAAAACGTCTGAGCCGATTTCGACCGGACTTTCACTGAAGGGGAGCTGACATAGATCCGCATGTTATGGGCTACTTTTTTTTAATCCCACGCTTTCATAATGGCGCCCGGAGCGCTATCTCTGGAATGAGTGGACCGATTTGGACAGGACTATGATTGAAAGATAGCTGGTAGAAAGTAAATGCACGCAGGAATATTATAGATGACTTTTTTAAAGTTTAGATGGATGTTTGTTAGAGTTTGTAGCCTAAACTGCTGAACTGATTTCGATGAAATTTGGCATAGACGTAGAGGATACTCTAGAAGAAGACATAGGCTACTGACTTGTGTTTTTTTTTTATTCTGAGCATCCGGAGTCGCGCGCGAAAGTAAGTCACAATTATCATTCTATCACATTTCATGCGACATATCACTATCTCGCTCCAACATTACCGTGGATAGCTTCTTCTGTCTGCGGTACACCTGCAGCTGTCGGCGATGCACTTCCGGCAACCGGCGGTACATCGACATCAGCTTCCTGTCCACCTCCGATAGACCGAGATCAACGCGTTTCCTGGAAAAAAATACAAATAAAAGAGCTAAATAAAAAACAAAAAAAAAGGTTTTGGTATGCAAGTGGTACCAACCACTAACAAACATCCATCCATCTAAATACATTTATAATGCGTAAGTGTATCATTAGTATGAAGTATGATACTACTAGCTTTCACCCGCGTTTCCGTCCGCGTGAAATTAAAAAAAAAAACAAAGTAAACAATCTATGTGTTCGTCCAGACTATCCTCTATATATATACCAAATTTCAATGACATCCAACAGTTTAGGCTACAAACTCAAACATCCATCCATCTAAACTTTCACTTATAATCATATATAAATTCTAACACGGCTAAACTCACGTGACACCGACAGTTTCGAACCCGTTGGGGGTCCTTCTTCAGGGTGAGTGATTAATCGGGTATACTCGCTAGCGCGTCGCGACGGTCACTGCGTGCCCTCGGCCTTCGCCCGCATCGCGCGTTTCCACGGGGCGGGGGGCGCGGGGGGTGCGGGGGGTACACTATTCACTATGTCCGTAGGCGAAGACGAGCTCGAAACTGACGTGGTGGTGTTATTATTATTAACGGGGGCACAAAATACACTTACAATGTCCACTAAGTTGTCTTCGACATTGTCGATCTTATTCCGCTTCGCATTCAGCAGCACGGGTTCCCACGCGGGTGGCAGAGCCCAACCCTTGTCTCTATTATAATTAGGCCGACGGCTGATTTCTATTGCCTCACGAAGCTTGCGGGATACAAAATGCTTCTCGCGGGCTAGCACTTTCACTTTGTCGAACCTAATATAATGTGACATATCGGAGGCAAGGGCATGTTCCGCCACCGCCGAGGCGTTGCTGTCGAGCTTGCGAATGCTCCGGATGTGTTCCGTGAGTCTAGTTTTTATGTTGCGCCCCGTTTCTCCGATGTAGTTCCTACCGCAATCGCATGGAATTTCGTAGACCCCAGGGCTGTCCAGAGGGTCCCGGTCTTTAGGGGACCGCAGTATTTTCTGTATTTGTGTCAGGGGTCGGAAATGGTCCTGATGCTATATCTCCGGTGTAACAGGTGACCAATTCGGTCCGTTATCCCCCGCACGTACGGCAAGTATGCCGGGACACGCTCAACATCCTGTGGCCGTCCTTTGCTTGATGTGTTTGCAAGGCGGTAACTCTGCCGCCAATTATAGCCGTTGCTCTCTAACACCTGTCGTACGTGTGACAATTCCGACTCAATAAACTGTGGATCACACAGCCGAAGCGCACGATTGATCAAAGTGCGTGGTACAGACGACAGATGTGAGGGGTGAGTCGGCTCTTAAGTAACGATCTGTGTTGGTCGGCTTTCTGTATACCGTATGTACAAGATTTCCAGTGGGTTCCCGCTTTACTAGAACATCCAAAAACGGGAGAGTTCCGTCCGTTTCCTCCTCCTTTGTAAATACAATCTTTGGATGTATACTGTTCAAATGGTCCAACAACAAGCTTAAGCCTTGTCTTGTAACAATGGCAAACACATCATCTACATATCTCCACCAGTAATAATAATAATAACACCACCACGTCAGTTTCGAGCTCGTCTTCGCCTACGGACATAGTGAATAGTGTACCCCCCGCACCCCCCGCGCCCCCCGCCCCGTGGTAACGCGCGATGCGGGCGAAGGCCGAGGGCACGCAGTGACCGTCGCGACGCGCTAGCGAGTATACCCGATTAATCACTCACCCTGAAGAAGGACCCCCAACGGGTTCGAAACTGTCGGTGTCACGTGAGTTTAGCCGTGTTAGAATTTATATAGTATAATGTCTCACGAAAGTTTTAATAAGTTAATTTATAATCATCCTAATATTAAAATGCAAAACTTTAGATGGATATTTGTTAGAGTTTGTAGCCTAAATGACTGAATGGATTTAGATGAAATTTGGTATATATGTAGAGGATAGTCTGGAAGAACACATAGATTGTTTACTTTGTTTTTTTTTTTTAATTTCACGCGGACGGAGTCGCGAGCGAAAGCTAGTATTAGTATAATAGTACAGATAATATCTAACAAGTTTTAACAAATTGTCCATACCTATGCGCATGCGCCGGCGGCGGGCAGTCTGCGCAGTGCCGCAGCACCCTATCCATGAGGCGCTCGATGCCCGCGATGGACCGCACGAGGCGCCGCACCGCGCCGCACAGCCCGCTGCCGGACCCAGACCCCGACCCTGACCCTGACCCTGACATGGATGTAGACCCCGAACTGGACTCCGAACCTGATACTGAAAAAAATACAAAAATGTAAGGTACAGTCGGGGAATTTGTCAGTGGTACGTGTAAAAACATTTGGTCTAACAGTGGTAGAGCCCGCTTTAACATCTTGGCACGAATGGGTAGGTTTTCCGGGTGTAATACCACGACCACACAGAAAACAGGAGAGAAGTGGGAGCAATTCCACGTTTCGTCTTATGAGTGTGGTGCCGGAGGCCTCATTTTAGTCTTTTCCTATCCACCCTTTTCTTAAGAGGAGAGGATAGGAAGAAAAAGTAGATTTGACGATGGAGACGCATAGGAAAGGGATATATCCTCTTTATTTGCGTTTCCTCCGTCGATTAAGGATAGGCAACGCATCTGCAATTGCGGATGTTTATGGGCAGTCGCTTCACCGTTTCGATGGATTCAGGCTCCTTACTCGTTTGCCAACTTACAATATAAAAAAACTAAACATTTTTTATAACAGTGGTAGAGCCCGCTTTAACAAGTTCACTATAGGACTCGCACAAGACAGATGTGAAGTGGAAGTAATTCTGCCTACACTCTGATGTGTGCCGGCTTAATAGTCTAGTAAGCGGTTTCGTTTGTCTCCGCATGATATATATCACAAACGAGCAAGCGGCCTGAATCCGCCAAAATGGCGAAGCGACTTAGAGATATACGCAATAGCAGATGCGTACGCTACTCTTGATCTACTCTTGACTAACTAGGCGCTCGACTACTATCATACTAATCATACTAATATTATAAATGCGAAAGTTTAGATGGATGGATGGATGGATGGATGGATGTTTGTTAGTTTGTAGCCTAAACGGCTGAAAGGATTTCGATGAAATTTGATATAAATGTAGAGGATAGTCTGGAAGAACACATAGGCTACTCAGTTTTTTTTTAATTCCACGCGGACGGAGTAGCGGGCGAAAACTAGTTTTATTATAAAAATTATTGTCATCATCATCATCTCCCCTGCCTTATCCTACTCCCCTCGGTCGGCGAAAAAAAAAATTATATAAAAATAAAAACTAAATAAAAAAAAATTATTGTAACATTTATAATTAAATCTTTTTTTGGTATACCGCGTGTTTCCGCGACTGTACTTTGTCATATTAAGTATACTTACGTTCATCAATCTCAGCATTGGAATCAGTCAGGTTGTCCGTCTTCACGAGATCTCGAGAAGATTGACTGTCAGGTGGTCTGAAATAAATTAATACTTATTATCTATACTATAAAGAGGAAATTTGTATATTTGTATGTATTGAAATAATAACTGATTTTAAAAATGATGGATGGATGTAAACAGTTTGTAGTAAACTACTGAACGGATCTTGATGATTGTCATACATGAAGTTTGGAAGTATATATAGGATACTTATTTTTATTTTAATTCCGGGCAGACGATGTCGCTGGGAAATGTTAGTCTATACTAATATATAGAGGAATGATTTTTGTATGTATTGAAATAAATCAAAAATTACTGGACCAGTTTCAATATTTTTTCGCCATTAAAAAGCTGCGTTAATAGTGAGTAACAAAGGCTGTATTTTTTTAATTTCACGCGGACGAAGTCGCTAACTAAACCTAGTATTAAATATGTTTTACAACTAAAATCACTCGATGGCCAAAAAAAAATACAATAAAAACGCATTTTTAATCAACAAAATTTTTCTAACAAAAAAACATTTAAAACCGTTTATTTGTTCTACCCTTTTTCTTTGTCTATTAAACTAACTATTTTATGAAACACTAACTATTCCTCCCGATTTTGTTCACGTGAAACTAAGCAATAGTAAAAATATAGCCTATATTATTGAGTGCTAATGTAGCTTTTTAACGGTGAAAGAATTATAATCGGTTCAGTATTTTTTGATTTATTTTAATACATACAAAAATAATTCCCCTTTTTTCTTTAACATTTCCCAGCGACTTCGTCTACCCGGAATTAAAAAAAAATAGTATCCTATATTTTCTTTCAGACTTCTGTATGACAATCATCAAGATCCATACAGCAGTTTACTACAAACTAACATCCATACATCCAATTATAGTAACATTTGTATATTTACTTGGCACCAGTCCCGTCTCCTTGCTGAAGTTCCCTGCACGAGGATTCTGGTTCCCCTTCACTTGGCGACTGAAAATGTATAAAAATTCAAGGTTAGAGTTTCCATTTTATTTACCCCTTACGTTTAACAGCGTGAAAATATATACCCTAAAGCATGTAAGTGTATGGCTTTTTATTTGAAAAATATTCACAAATATACTGTGATTACTGACATCTTACGTCACAAATCTAAATATTATAAATGCGAAAGTTTATATGGATGTTTGTTAGAGTTTGTACCCTAAACTGCTGAACGGATTTCGATGAAATTTGGCATAGACGTTTAACATAGTCTGGAAGAACACAGGATACTTGCTTTTCTTTCTTTTTGAATTCACGCAGACGGAGTCGCGGGCGAAAGCTAGTCTATACTATTATAATAAAGCGTAAACGCACACTTTGTTGCCTAAGATGTCAGCAATTACACCATATTTTTGAATAATTCTTTCTTTAATAAAAAAACCCTACACTTCACGCTTTAGGCTATATATTTTCACTCTAAACTTAGGCAGTAAATAAATTGTAAAAAAAACTTTTATATGGGAAAGAGACTATAAACTACAAGCCAACATTAAGGAATCAAGGTTATTGGTAACGGTAATTTTGACATTTGACAATTAGAGAATTTGACAAATGTAAACAATAAAAGTTATTATAATTTCATGTAAATGTCACAGAAGTATAGAAGGAAAACATCGAGTACATATCTGTAAAGAAATTCTAAGATATGTGTAAAGTTTTTTTTATATAACATAAGTTGGCAAACAAGCAAGCGGCCACCTGAATCCGCCAAAATGGCGAAGCGACTGCTCAGACATCCACAATTGCAGATGCGTTGCCTACCCTTATCCGACGGAGGAGACGCACATAAAGAGGATATTTCCCCTTCCTATGTATCTCCTCCGTCAAATCCACTTCCCCTTCCCATTCTCTTATAAGAAAAGGGTGGTAAAGAGAAAGTGACTTAAATGAGGCCTCCGGCACCACACTCATCAGACTGTACACGGAATTGCTTCCACTTCACGCCTGTCTGTGGTGCCCTGCAGTGCTAAGTTAAAGCGGGCACTACCACAGTAGTGTTGATGTCTAAATCACCCTTAGGGTAGGTGATGATGATATACCTTGTCCTCAGCATCCTCCGACTGCAGATGCGTGTTGTTAAACTCATTGACAGCTTGCATCATACCGAGGAAGGAGATCCTATAGTAGAGGTCACTGAAAAAAAAATACAATAAATATTAACTATAAAAATGCCGTTTTGTATGTGCTGTAATCATTAAAAGACTTTATTTATATGTATTTTATCGTCTTTAACATTCCTTCGATTGTTTTAGACACACATTTTTCCTAAAGTTATAAATAAATAAATAAAATAAATAATTAAGTAAATAAATATATATTACAGCCAGTATATATTAATTGTAGATCAAACCTTATCAATCCACAACAGTATGTAAATCATATAAATATTATAAATACAAAAGTTTAGATGGATGTTTGTTAGTTTGTAGCCTAAACTGCTGAACGGATCTCGATGAAATTTACCATAGATGTAGAGTAGTCTGGAAGAACACAAAGGCTACTTGCTTTTGTTTTTTAATTCCACGCAGACACTGCGGGCGAAAGCTAGTACAATACAAATCTTTCCCCTTTATAGTATTAGTATAAATATTCAATTATTGACGTCAGTTTGTCTGTGTTTTTTTATAATACAAGGTGGCAAACGAGCAAGCGGCCTGAATCCACCGAAATGGAAAGCGACCGCTGCACATAAACATCCGCAATTGCAGCGCTGCCTACCCTTCATTGACGGAGACGCACATAAAGAGGACATTTCCCCTTCCTATACGTCCCCTCCACAGTCAAATCCTTCTCATCCTTTCCTCTTAAGAAAAGGTTGGAAAGGAAAAGGGACTTAAATGAGCCTCCGGCACCACACTCATCAGACTGTACACGGAATTGCTTCCACTTCACGCCTGTCTGTATGGTCGTGGTATTACACCGGGCCTGCAGTGCTAAGATGTTAAAGCGGGCTCTACCACTGTCAAATTATTATAATAATAATTACCTTAACAGCTGCCGCCGCTGCTGAGCGCCGAGTGTTCGTGGATTCAGACAATCACACCAGTGACGGTAGCCCTCCCAGCCGCTCACTGCAACAAATAACATAGTAAATACATAAAATACTAGTACATGGGGTGTATATTTTATGTGTGGGGGGGGGGTGGCAACAGAGTAAACGATTACTTGAATTCAGCGTAATAGCGAAGCGACGGAGTATAGGCAACGAGCAAGGGGCTACCTAAACCGTCGATATTTGCAATTGCAGATATATTATCTACTCTTAATCAACGGTGAAGACAGACATAAAGAGGATATTTTCCCTTCCTATGCGTCTCCTTCGCCGTCAAATGGACGTTCCCTTTCCATCCTTCTTACTATAAGAGAAAGGGTTGAAAGGAAAAGGGACTGTAGTTGAGCCTCCGGCACAACACTCATCAGAGTGTACGCGGAATTGCTCCCACTTCACGCCTCTTTGTGTGGTTGTGGTATTGTTGGGGGCGAGCCCTTTTATGCCTCTACCACTGTTAAAAACGTGTGGTGTAGGTATGGTGTGGCGTGATGTGATGTGATGGGGTGTGCTGTGGTGTGGTGTGATGTGATGTGGTGGGGTGGGGTGTGATGAGGTGTGAAGTTATGTGGTGTGTGTGGTAACTCACAGTCCTCTGGGCTGGTCCTGGCCGCCATGTCCCGCAGACGCGCGCTGGTGCTGGCGCGCTGCTGCGGCGCGAGGAACCTGGCCAGCCGCCGCCGCGCGCGCTCGATCCACTCCTCGTCACCACCCTCCCTGCCTGTTATCTCCACCTATCACGTAGTACCAAATATTACATCATTATCATATCCACGAGTGAAAGGAGATATATCGACGGGTATATTCAGAATTTAAAATATAAAAAAAAAATAATGAAGTTTATGTTTTTTTTTTAATTGAAGACTAAATGGATCTAATGAACATATTACCTAATGGCGCTTAAAACAAATAGCCTTTCACCCAACGATACATATGTTTGTTAGAGTTTGTAGCCTAAACTGCTGAAGGAATCTCGATGAAATTTGGCATAAATGTAGATCATAGTCTGGAAGAACACATAGGACGGACGGAGTCGTGGGCGAAAGCTAGTAATATATATGCAGACTCATAATAAACATAGGAACTTTTTAAGTCATAAATATAAACAAACTAGCTTTCGCCCGGGACTCCATCCGCGTAGAATTAAAAAAAATCTAAGTAGCCTATGTGTTCTTCCTGACTATCCGATACGTCTATGCCAAATTTCATCGAAATCCGTTCAGCCATTTAGGCTACAAACTCTAACAAACATCCATCCATACATCTAAACTTTCGCATTTATAATATTAGTATGATACGTACTTTGAAAGTGATGGTAGAAGCAGCTTTGAAGTTTTCTAACAACTTGCAGAATCTCTCGACAGCATACCTATAACAAATAATTACAAATTCAAAGATATGTGAAGTCGCAGTTGACGTCCTAGTCACTAAGGATAGGTTTTGGCCCTTAGTGAGGATATAGTGAGCTGGTGATGATATACTCACTCCTTCTCAAATGGTCGCTCATAGGGTCGGCAGAGACACACTTTGTGGACGATATTCTGCATAAAATCGCTCTGTTCGCACAAACGACTCAGCTGCTCTTGGACTACTGCTTCACCTGAAAATGAAATTAAAATGTATTTTTACACAATCATTAAAAAATTATCACAGTCTGGAAGAACATAGTCTACTTTGTCTTGTCTTCAACAGTGGTAGGGCCCGCTTTAACTTCGCACTGTAGGCCTCTCAGCAATACCACGACCACACAGACAGGCGGGAAGTGGAACCAATTCCGCGTACACTCTGATGAGTATGCCGGAGTCTTACCTTTAGTCACTCTTTCCCACCCTTTATCTTATAAGAAAGTGATGGAAAACGAACGCAGATTTGACGGTGCAGATGCATAGGAAGGGGAAATGTCCTCTTTATTTGCGTCTCCTCCGTCGATTAAGGGTAGGCAACGCATCCGCTATTGCAAATGTCTATGGGCAGCGGTCGCTTTCCATTTCGGTGGATTCAGGTGGCCGCTTGCTCGTTTGCCACCTTATATTATAAATAAAAATCACTTTCTTATTTAATTCCAAGCGGAGTCGCGAGGAACAGCTAGTACATAATTTTAATATAATTGTACTGAGCAATTTTAATTTAACCACTCCACTAGACAACTCGCCAGGAATGCGTGCGAGTATCCCAACGACATTGACAGCTGTCAGAGATGTGACGTTTATGCCAATAATCTAGTGTTGCGCCAATTCTATAGCCAATACTAATTTTCTTCTTAACAATAAATACCTTCATGACCAAAGTGCAGTCTCTGCAGTCTTGCGATGTCCCACTCGGAGGGCGGCACCGGCGTGCCGGCGCGCAGCCGCAGCGCGCGCATCACGCCCGTCGCCGCCGACGTGTTGCCACCTGCACATCACACATGACACACCTGACACACATGCCACACATAACAACAATGACACATGAAATACTTTACACTTGACATACATGATACACTGGACACATATGACACCTGTGACACATATGACAACGTGACATTCATGACACTCGTAATAGGCATGACACACATGACAAATGTGATACTCATGACACGACACTTTATTTCATTACCATCCTCCTTATCCTACTCCTGTAGGGCGCAACATGTTATTTTCCTCTACATAACTCTATCATCCGTCATCTCAGTCATCAATCCCTTCTTGATCATGTCACCTTTCACGCAATCCATCCATCTCTTTCCACGTCTATGACACCGCTTCACTTATAACACAGAAATTAAACTACCCATATTCATCATCATCTTCCTCCTCATCCTACTCCTTGTTTGTGTACTTAATGTAAATTAGCGACCACACCAGCGCCTACCACTCCTTATGCCAGTCGACACATGACACGCATGCCAGTATACCAGTACGACAGTATACTTACTGTGCGCCAGCGACCACACGAGCGCGCGCAGGAAGCAGTGCAGCGCGGCGGCGTTGTGCGCCACGCACACGCACTGCCGGCAGTGGCAGCCGAACCTCGCGCGGTACCACCACTCTGACCGCACCGTCTCCACGCTCCTGGGCATAAGTAAACGTCTATAATGTACAACACGGACCCCCAAATGCAACAACCCCCAACAATAAACACCACGTGTAGAATGCACAGAACCCCGCAATTACAACACGGGCCCCCTAAAATGTATGTACCACCAATAATAAACACGAATCCCCCAAAATATATGTACAGCCACCCCACACTGTTACAACACGAACCCCCAAAACATTAATATGCAGCAACCCTAACAAATTTATTACAAAGGTAAAAATAAACGTGTAGCAACCCCCCACAAAATCTAACCGAACCCCCAAACGTAAACGTGTATAAACCTACCAATTCATCACAAACCCCCAAAAATAATATCAAACCCGTATACTATATTATTAATTAAATTTATATCCCAACAGTTTTTTTATTAGTCGTTATAACTAATCCTGTAGCGCGGGGTGCGGGGCGAGCGTTACGTGGGCTGATCACCGCTTACATAAATGACCCAACTTAGGTGAGGCGCAGTTATGCAAGGCGAGTTAATGCTTTTCCGAGGACCCTTGAGTGTTCAAGCAATGGTTGAAGCACCAAGAGTGCCTAGCGTAAGCACACCACGAGTAACCAGGCACACCAAGCTCGTCACATGCTCCCTTCAAGCTTGTCACGGCGGCCGAGGTCACGAAACCATCTATGTACATTGATAGCGGCATGTAAGTGAACTATGGCGCCATCTAGTGACAAGCGGCGTAATTGTTCAGTTGCATCAATGCATTATGGCGCCGCATGCACGATTTTACTACTCGGCATACGATGGCGCGAGTAGTCTTAATTTATCTTGTTACAATCCTTTATTTAATTCAATTAAGACACTTTTAATACTCTATTTTAAACTAAAAAGCATAAGGGCATAGCCATTTTCACAAACACAAACCCCCAATCAACAACATCGACCCCCAAACTCCAACACGGACCCCCTAACTATACTTACATTTCAGTACCGATGAGAGTATACATGAGAGCGCTGATCTCGCACCAGGACCTGAAGACACCAAGCAGCCATTCCTCGATCACCTTGAATCTGCTCACGTCTTCACTTTCACCTTCTCCTACACGATCTGCTTGAAAAAAACATCATAAATTAAAAAAAAATAATAAAAAAAAACAATATATAAAAATTGGATGTTCACGTGCGGCTTCATCCGCTTGGAATTATAAAAACTTTTATTGTTTACATTTGTCAATTGTCAATTGCAAATGTCAAAATGACATGACATGACAAACCTTGGCAATCTT